CCCATCTTTTCCCAACTAGATTGTAAGTGCTTTGAGGTGAGGAACAGTAAAATATCTTTTATTTATTTTTTGCCTCATTGCCTCAAATAATGTGTTGTTAGGGATAAGATGGACATCTCTCCCTGTTCCTCCTCCCTCTTTCAGTAAATGTAAAGTCAATTATTTTAAGTTCCTGATAAGGAATTCCATCTCATATCCTTTTAACTGTGAGACAATATAGAGCTGGGTTGTTTTTTTTTTTTACCAAGGAAGGATAGAAAAGAAGTTCTTTCAACACAGAATTCAGCAACAATGAGCATCATAAATGATTCTATAAAGGTTTTTTTTTAACTCCCTGCAACAGAACATCTTCCCTGAACTGCCCTTGCTTTCATTGCTATCCATCCATTTAGGAAAGTTATAATTGTTTGAAACCAAAGTCCTCCATCTGTATCACCCATAGGGAAGAGTGGCTAGACAGTGGTCCCTGAGAGGGGAGAAGAGTCAAATAAAATAGTGAGGGGACAGCTCTTCTGGACTCTGCCCTCAGTCAAACCACACCTGGGCTATTGAGTTTAGCTGAGGGTGTGCCATTTTAGGAAGGACACCCAGAAAAGCTGGATGAATATCCACAGAAAGGCAATCAGAATACGGGTTGGTGGCTATGCCTTAAGAAAAAAAAAAGGATAAGGAACTCAAGATATTTAGCTGAAGAAAAAGAAGACTTGAGAGGGAAGATGATATGATAATTGTCCTGAAGTATTAGAAGGGCTGAATGGTGGAAGAAGGATTAGGCCTCACCCCAGAGGGCAGAACTGGGAGCTATTGATGGAAGACGTGGACAAGTGGATCATAGTTAAGTTAAAGGAAAAAAACTTCCAAACAATTACAGCTATCTCAACTCAGAGTGGGCTGCAGGGAATGGGTTTCCCCTCACTGGAGACCTTCAAGCAAAGACTGCCTGACTGCTTGTCCAGGACGTTGGAGAGGGAAGTCCTGATCAGGAATGGGTTAGATTAAGTGGCCTCAGAAGTCTACTCTGATTCTGTGAACAACTGCTGAAAAAGGTGACCTGTGTTATGCCTCTTCACTTAGAGCTGAAAAACACAAGGGATGGAGCTCTGTGCTTGAGTGGGAATACTACTAGATAAATATCATGCTATTTTTAGAAAGCTGTATTCTCATTCACATACTCAGTATGCCTGCCCCCACTCCCACCTCCACCCCCACCCTTGAAAGATGGCCCACATCTGGAGGAATAGTTTTTGCACTGGAGATGCATAAACATTTCTTAATTAAGAGAGACTGTAAAGGGTGTGATTCTTCAAACCAGTTCCTTTTTGGATGAGAATGATTCCTAGCTATATTTGGTTATATCCATAGGAAACTCCTACCACAGACACAGTTCACCAGGAAGAGGGCAAAGATCTACTCAAGCAACAGGCAGCTAGGACTCCTGTTTTAACTTTTTTACGTATATAGACCCTTCAAAAGAAGAGTCTTTTTACTGCCTATTTTACACTATGAGGGAATTCAAGGACCATAGATAGAGCTTTAAGAGGACTTTAAGATTATCAAGTTCAGGGTTTTCATCCTGGGGCCCAGAGTCTATAAACTTGGATGGGAACAAAAATAATCTTTATTTTAATATAATTGGTTTCCTTTGTAGTACTATGTGTTGCATTTTATGCATTTAAAAACATTATTCTGGGCCAGGAATGGTAGCACAAACCTGCAATCCCTGCTATGGGAGAGGCTGAGGGTGGTGGATCACTTGAGCTGAGGAGCTCTGAGATGCAATGGCCTACAGCCAGGCTGTGCTGTTGGCACCAACGTGGTGAACCCCAAGGAACGGAGGTTCACCAGGCTGCCTAAGGAGTGATGAACTGCCCCAGGTCAGAAATGGGAGTAGGTCAAAGCTCCTAGGCCAATTAGTATGGGATGGTGAGGTTTTTCTGGCCTGGGACAGATAAGGAGATCCAGTCTCAAAACAAAAACAAAACAAAATATTATGAGAAGGGGTCCATAAGCTTCACTGGACTGTCAGAGGGAAACATCATACAAAGAAAGGTTAAGAACCTCCAATCTAGTTCCTTCATTACGGAATTGAAGCCAGAGAGGGAAGTGAATTGCCCAAGGTCATCCAGCCATTTAAATGAAGACTTGGGACAATACCAGAAGTCTCCTGCCTTCTAAACAGGATGATTTAAACCTTTTGTTGTTCAGTTAACAACTCTTGGTGAGTTTTGGGGTTTTTTTTGACAAAGATATTGGACTGGACTCATTTTACAGATGAGGAAACTGAGGCAAACCAGGTTAAGTGACTTGCCCAGGGTCACACAGCTAGTGTCTGAGGCCAGGTTTGACTCAGAAAGATGAGCCTTTCTGATTCCCAGGGCAGAACGCTATCCTCTGCACCACCTAGCTGCCCAGATTTAGAGCTAGAGGGGCCTTTAGAGCCTATCTAGTCTAGCTTTATCTTACAGAGAAGGAAACAGAAGCACAGAGAGCTTGATTAATTTGCCAAATTGATTAACAAAGATAGTAGCTGAGTGGCAGAGCTGGGATTTGAATCCAGGTCCTCTGACTTCGAATGCAGAGTTCTTTCCATTTACCTATGCTGGCTGGCTTGCTTTTTACACTATACGATGGTACCACAATCCCTCATGGTTACAAAGGTACCACAATCCTTCATGGATGCATGACGCCTTTGGCATAGATATTCCTTTCATCCTCAGTACTCCTACTTCTCTATGCCTTGGTTGATGGTATTCTTGAGTAACTATGGCTGACAAATTCATCACCTGGTGACTACCCTTCCACCAATGTGCCTCTTCACACTTGACTAGGCCCCTCTTAACACCAGGGTTCTTAACTTGGGGTCCATGGATAGATTTCAGGAAGTCTATGAACTTAGATTGAAAAAAACACATCATTATTTTCACTAATCTCTAACAAATTTAGCTTTTCTTTCCAATATAAAAGTATGCAACAAATATTATTTTGAGAAGGGGTCGTAGATTTCACCAGATTGCCAAAGTGCAATGACACTACTCTAGACAGACAGACAAATCATTTCTGGGACCTACTGAAAGCCTTTCCTGCCTTGGAGGTTATATCAGGATTCATGCTCATATGAAAATTCAGTCACCTTTATTTCACAGTGAGGACCCAGGAAAATGTAAAATATATCACAGTGTATCAAGGTCTTTCTCTGCTCTCACCAGCTTGCTGAATTTCTAGAGTTCCTCTACAGGGGCCTTGATCCAGAACAATGATTAGATGTTTTCACCTCCCACGGCTCAGTTTTAAAAATCAGTAAGTTTATCACTAATCTATTTCAATCTCCTTGAGTGGAAGAAACATTACATTCTGATAACCATGTGTGAGATGCCAAGGAAGAAGCGAAGATGTGGGGAGGGGGGGTGTGCAAGGATAAGGTGGTCTGTCCTTCATAAGTCTCTTGCTGAGCCTCTATACCCATTGAATTTTCTTTTTGGAGATTTATTTAAAAAAAAACAACTCCAACCTTCTGCAGAAAACTGCCTGTATTTCCTAACAACACACTCCTATATTTTGCTAGACAGTGATCTCTGATCAACAGATAGTCAAGGTTTGCCATAAGAATCCACTCAACCAGTTGCAGAGGGAAGGGAGTCATCCAAGCCCAAGAGATGAATAATTTACAGGAAAGCAGAAACATACCATAAAATAACAGAAGGACAGAGGACAAGAGAGCCTTCTGTGTGTCACTGGCCTTAGACCACTTGCCAGAAACGGTCCTAAAGAGGCAGACTGGTTGACAAAGACCTCTACAGCCAGCAGACAGCCAAACAGCTGTGGAAGTCGCAGGTGGTGACAAGCAGGGGAGAAAGTTGATCCCTTCTCATAGTCCTGAAGGCTGCCAGCCTGACACCAGTCTGTTGCAGGGCTCTGCTGCGATCCCCTGCCGTCCCTTCTCTCTCTACCCCCTGCAGTCACCCTCCTGGTCCTCACAGCTCTAACACATTGGTTGGAGCAGACACTTTCACCCTGGTGGACTCTGTCCCTGGCAATTCAGGGAGTAAGACCAATTCCCTCTGCAGGTGGCGCCTCCCAGAGGACCCCCTCTGGCCACCAGGACCTGGATCTCGTCCTTGAGGCTGTCTGCGGCTCAGCCAAGAGCTTCCCTCCCCCCAACAAGCTGGGGGCATAAGAGAAACGCCTGAACAAAGGGGAAGGAGAGATGGTGGCTGCCTCTTCCAGGAAGCATTCCCTGCACTAGAGCAGACACGAACGCGATTGGGGTGCAGGGATGCTGGGGTGGGGCAGGAGCAATGGGATCGATGGTTTCACTGTTTTTGCTCTCTCCTCCGCGGCTGCCCCAGCGCCCCTATGATTTGCTTCCTCCATCCCTCCCTTTCCCAGCACACACCTCAGGGGTTTCAGGTGAACTCCCGAATGCCAGGCAGCTGCCTGTGTCCACTATCCCTGTTAATGCAATTTTGCTTTGGAACAGAAGAATAAAGTGTGTGTGAGGAGGTGGGAAGAGCCCCAAAGAAAAGGCTAGGATAATGGAGAGCCGGGCAGCTCTGGAAGTGGGGGGAGGGTGCTAGCACCTGGCTACAGCCGGGGTGCCTGGGGCGGGGGAGAAGAGAATGGTGGCAACATTGAGCAGCCCTGGCACCTGGAGGAGAGGGGTGCAGCGGGAGCAAAGCGCCAGCGCTGGAGCCCAGGACAGGGCGGAGGGCAGCGGGCAGCGCTGCTGCCCTGCTCCCCGGCTGAAGGCGGCAACCCCAGCGGGCACGGCCGGGCCTCGGGCATGTGTGTGTGTATGTGTGTGTGTGTTGGCGGGTTGGGAGGGCGGGAAACGCCGGCAGTCGGTCGGCCAAGCCCGGCAACCGGGCGACAAGCCAGCTCGGTCCCGCGCAACGGCCGGAGAGGGGCGAGCGGAGAGCGGCAAGCAGTTCCGAAGGGCAGCGGGGGTGGGGGGGGGGGGGGGGTGGCCACGATGGGAGCCCAGGGCGCTGGCAGCCGCTTACCTGGCAGGGTCTTGTGAGCGGTGTTGCCCATCACTCTCGGGTGGGGGTGGGCAGCGGCAGAGAAGGCGCGGAGGGTCCCCTAGTCCGGTGCTGCTCCGCTATGCGAAGGGCCATTGACAACTAACTAGTCGGCTGCTGCGGCTGCGTCCTAGGCGCGCGACGGGTCCCCGGCTCCGAGGGCTCGGCTCCGGGACATAGCTTGCTGCCGGCACGAGCAGCAGCGAGCGAGGGAACAAGAGAGCAGCTCCCCGGGCCACCGCCGGCTCGCGCCCCCGGGAGGCGGAGCCACCTGGGCTCGGGTAGGGCCGGCCTCCGCTCCGCCCCGGCCCGCCCCGCCCCGGCCCGCTGCTCCCCTTTGCAGCTGCTCAGCGGCCGCCGAGGCGCGGGGGACCGGGGGCGGAGTCCGGCCGCATCTTTTGAAAGTTTGGAAAGGGCAGCTGGAGAGGAGCAACGGCGAAAAAGCCGGGAGCCGGCGCCGCTCCTCCCCTCCCTCTGGGGCCTCCCAGGAGGACGCGCGGGGGTGCCGAGCTTTAGCACCGGCCCGGCAGCCGTTGCACTGTGCACACCCCGCAGAGGTCCCTGACTCTAGGAGCTTAGCAACCAGGACAGACTGACAGACGCGGCCGGCCGAGCCTGCCAGGGCACAGGCTTCCAAGGGGAAACTCGGGCGCCCAGCAGGACAAACGCGCAGATACTGGCAGGAATGAGACAATGCATTCGTTGACTTCAGTAGCAAAAAGGGACAAGTGCATTTACTAGTGAAAGAAAGAAAGAACGGACGGGTAGAGCTAGAAAGAACCTAGTTTGGAGGTCAGATAATGCACGCCACTTCTACCTCCGAGGAGACCGGGCCCTGAGAGGCCAAGGGATTTGCCCACAGCTAGTTAGTGGTAAAACTGGGGCTGAGATAATAGAATTTAGAATTGAAAAACGCCTCACAAGCCATCTGGTCCAGTTTCCTCATTTTACAAGTAAGGAAACTGAGGCCTTCAAGGGCTATGTGTTAGAAGAGGTTCTTCCTATCCCCACTAGTCGTTCCTGCCTTTCCCCCACGTAATTTCTATTTTGCATTGACTCATCTGTAAACCTGTTCTTCTCCCCCCCCCCCCGCCCTCCGCGCCGGCCAACCCACAGTTTCCCTGTTTTTTTTCTTTTGTTTTTTGTCTTTGGGTGCCAAAGTGACTGGTAGATGCTTACTTAGTAAATGTTAAATTAAATCAATGGATGAATGCACTTGCCCAACGTCACACAGTGAGTTTGGTAGAATTTAGCTTCTCATCCAAATTATCTAATTCAAATTTTAAAAATTTATTTATTTTTGCCACTACCCCTTTAGGTGGACCCAGATCCCTGGGTTCTCAGTCCAGGCTATTTTTTTTTTTTCCTCACATGCCTCTTACTCTCTAATGAAGAGACAGGATGTTGGTCTGGCGTTCCGGCTTCTTGTTAAGTGAGTTTTTAGAAGACAGTTACTGTAGCTGTTTGAGCAAAGAGCAGTCTGGCACTGTAGGAGAAGGGTAATGAGGGTAATCTCAGTAGGGCAAATAATAGCTAGCATTTGTACAGCGCTTTACATTTTGCAAAGCGCTTTACAAATATCTCATTTCATGTTCACAACAACCCTGACAGATAGGCGCTATTTTTCTCCCCATTTTGCAGATAAGGAAACCGAGGCAGAGAGAGGTTAAGTGCTTGCCTAGGGTGACACAACTAGTAAGTGCCTGAGGGTGGATTTGAACTCAGGTCTTCTCGATTCAAAGTTCTATCCTTTGCACCACCTAGCTTGCGTAAGTGTCAGAGAAGATGGGGGCTCGGTGGGAAAGGAATGGAGAGAAACCAAATATAACCAGGGTAGCCCATAGGGATCTTTATTATAAGATAGAGAACTTTTTTTTTCCAATCCACAGTACAAAGGGAATACATATTAAATTTAAATTCTAGACGTCCCCAGAGGGGGAAACATTCACAAAAGCTGCCTTTGCTCTTTCTTAATTACAAAACAATCATTACTAGGGGAGAGGGTCTCCTTTAGGTGTGGTTTGCTTCTGTCTGGTTGCCAGGTTTGAGGAAGGAGTAAAAAGTAAGAGTAAAAAGTCCTCTTGGGGGTCATCTAGTCCAATTTCCCTTATTTTTCAAATGAGGAAAATGAGCCCCAAAGAAGTTAAGTGATGATAAACCTGGATCATGAATTTGGCCCCAGGTCCTATGATTCTGAAGTCAGCACTTTGTTCATTTTACCGTAAGAAGCCCACCTTAGCGCAATTAGAGACCTCCAGACAGGAGCAGTGAAAGTTCCAATAAGAAGGAAGTTGCATATATTGATGTAACCCAATTTGACCCAGTAAGAGATTGTTAACCCAATGGTACTGTTAATGGGATTGGGATCTGGACCCCAAAAAGGAAAAACCCTGGATTTTCCCAAATGGCCAAATCTCTGGTTTTTGCCTGAGGCTATAATCGTATCAACTGGTTTTTTCCTGTGGCTATGCCCAATCTCCCAATTCTCTGTTACCCTTAACCTAGCCTAGCCCTCCATTGTTTTACCGCCCTATGGCCACGGCCACTTCCCACCCTTGATCCTAGCTAGGCTCCCTTCTCCCTTGGGTACATGGTGCAGGTCCCTGGCATTCTATTACCTCAGTCCCTACAGACTACTTGGCCACTCCCAGATATCTCCCAGTCTTTCCGTATATAAGGTCCATCTTGTCTCCATTAAGATGCTCAGATTCTTATAATCTAGCCACTGCTCGGATTCCTTAAGAGTCTGGCCAATATGAAGGATGTTCTAATAAACTTTGTCTTTGGCTGAAGGAAGGCTTGGGTCGCTTCTCTCACGCAGGACCTGCGTATTGTGATTTTGGGATCCCAGCACCCCAGCACCCCTAAACCTCAACACTGTTTTGAGGCTTGACTTGTTTAAGGAAAATTTTAGTGATGTCTTTTGTTTTTCTGTCACAGTCATTTTTTAATATACTGCCCTATACCTTTCCCAAAGATGTGTCCGGTTGTCTTCAGTAACAAAGGAAAACAGTTAAGCAAAACCAATCGATAGTGACCATGCCTAATTGTATATGTAGCATTTTTTACCTATAGCCCCTCACCTCTACTGTTTGTATCAAGGCTGTTGTCAGATTGTTATTTGTACAGAACCCATGTTTCATAAATACTGAGCTACCTTAATATTTGGAAAGGCACTGGTCAAACTTTTTTTTTCTTTTTTTTTTTCTTTTTGGTGAGACAATCAGGGTTAAGTGACTTGCTTAGGGTCACACAGCTAGTAAGTGTCATCTGTCTGAGGACAGATTTGAACTGAGGCTCTCCTGACTCCAAGGTCGGAGCTCTATCCACTGCACTACCTAGCTGCCCCTCTGGTCGAACATTTCATGAGTGAAAGTCAAAAAGCTGAATGCCACCAGCCATTTTCCAGTTTTGAAACTCTGGGAGTGAAGACTTTATACTGGGGGCTGGAGTCAGCCAGTCTTTTAGCTTGTTTCATTTCCTATTTCTGCAGAAATGCATAACCAGGCTGGTTGTGATTGGGGACACTGGGACATGGTAAAGTGTAGTCGTAACTTTAGCCGTTGGTCACAGAGAACATTCTTACTTTTGTCAGCTGCCTGTAATTTAGCAGTCCTCCCAGAACAGAGGTGCATTCAGAGAGCAATTACTCTTGATAAATTTAAGTGGTCAGTATTGGGCAATCTTATGGGAATGCAGGCTCTGAGGCAAACAAAAATGCTCGGCCTAGTGAAAGCTGTGCAGGTGCACTCTGTGTGCAGCAAACCCTGACATCTGGCTTGCAAATCCAGATTTTCACATAATTACAGAGCAGTCTTTTGCCTCACAAAGGGATTCCCTCCGCGGGATTTACACTTTGCCTAGTTCCAAAAACGATTTGATGTAGCATACAAAACGTAATGTAGCACAGGATAGTTATGGGTAATAACAGAACAGGGACGATCTGAAAACAGCAGGAGGAGATGCTGTCAGGCACCTTGGGTAAATCATTATGATCTGGTCATTAAACTTGCCTCGGTTTCCTAGGAGTTAAGGCCAAAGCAGAAGCACAGGCTGCACAGTCCATTGTCCAACAAGAAAGAGCCTGCGAATTAAAGTTTGACCTGGAGCAGAAGTCTGAGATGGAGTTTACCACATGAGTTCTTCTGTAAGGGACATTGTTCACACAGCAGATCCTGTATTTGAGTTTTCAAAAGAAGCGAACACTGCTCCAATGGAGAAGACCAAGGAAAGACACGAAAGCTGTATTTGAAACGCTATCATAGGAAGGGGAGAATTTGTTCTACTTGGCCCCAGCGGGCAGAGCAAGGAGCTAAGGGTGAAGGTTTTAGGGAAGCAGATGTCATCGGGAAGCAATTAAAGCATACCTAACAATTGGAGCCATCCCAAAGTGGAACGGAAATGACTCGGGGAAGTAGTGTATTCCCCCTCACTGAAGCTCCTTATACAAAGACTACATGACCATTGGCCTGATATACTACAGAATGGATTCTTGCTCAGGTCAAAATTGAGCTAGATGGTCTCTGAGGTTCCTTTCAATTCAGATTCTGTGATGATTCTAATATTAGCTCTCTATAAAAGATAGAGGACAAAGAGAAGATCTAGTCTAGTATGTTTCTTTCTTATGGCCTAATTAATATAGGGATTTAATTTGGATAATCTATCATAGGTTCCCAAAGTGGATGATACTGCTCCCCCCCGGGGGACACTGGAACTGTGGAGGGGTGTTGTAGCTTAAGGTGCAATTGGGGGGCATTGAATAAAAATAAGGGGGCATGGAAGCATAAGGAAAAAAGAGGATAAGAAAATTTTGGAAAAGCATTCGTACATGTTTCATCTGTTGTGCAACAGAGTTAAAGTCATAGTGATTACATTATTTTCCAAATAAACACACACAATGCAAGTTGTAAGTGATCAGTGGTCAAGTCCTCTGACAGGTCTTAACAAGCAAGTGTCGGCAGGTGAGCTCGTCACACATTGCCGGGAAGTCCAACATGCATCGGCAGGAATATGTGTATGTGATGACTTGTTTACAATACGATACTATATGGTCACATGAATCAATATTGCATCATCAAAATTTCAATGCAGGAAAAAACCTACAAATTTACAATGAATTATTAAATTTAAGTTGCATCATTTAAAAAAAAATTATATATATTTTTGGAATGACACAAATTTAAAAAAAAAAACTGCTGAAAGGTTAAAGAAAGTAGATTTCCAGAGGG